CTGTTGCCTCTGCAATGATTGTGGTTATTTTGTTTCACTAGTATCTATGCAAGGTTATCTTCAGCTAAATCTATCATTGGTCTAGGGTACATTCCTATTTGCCAACTCCCACCTGATCTTTTCACCTGTCCATGCATTTATCTGTAGCTTGGTGTTTGGTGTTAGTGGTAATGCAGTATTGTATACATATTAGATTATACTACTTTTCTATTGGTCATTTTATTGGAAAATACTTGCAATTTTCATCTAACAAGTTTACACCTTACATGGGTTATGGTTTTTGCACATTTTGCTGTACATACCTTCTGCGTTCCATAAAAAAACCCAAAATCAAACCCACTGCCATCTAGTCAATTCTAACTCACAGCGAGCCCCATTGCGTTTCTGAGGTGGTAAAGCTTTACAGAAGCAGAGTGCCCAGTCTTGCTTCTGCAGAGTGGCTGGTGGATTTGAACCACCAATCTTCTGGTTAGAAGTCAGATGCCTTTGTCACTGTGCTACCTAGAGCTCCTTCTACCTTCCATGTTGTTGTTGTTGTTATGTGCTGTCAAATCAGACCTGACTCATAGCGACCCCTCCTTGGGTTTCCGAGGCAGTATCACTACAGAAGTAGATTGCCCCATCTTCCTTCCAAGGAGTCGCTGGTGGGTTTGAACCACCAGCCTTCTGGTTTGCAGTCAAGTGCTTTAGGCACTATGCTACCAGAGCTCCCCTACCTTCCATAGGGTTTTAGAATTTACCCCTGGTGTAAGCTGTAGCTCCTCTGTGTGCCATACCCCCAACCCCAGGCCTAACTGGACCTTGCAGAGTGGCCAAAAGGCACATGATAAATGTCTACAGAGTTCACAAATGTCCTGGTCCCCTGTATCATATAAGGCACTATCCCAGGAGACCAGGACCCAAATGGCCTCAACCCCTTAGTGATGAAACACATATCAATGACACCCTGAACTAGCTCTATGTGTGAACGACACCAATTTAACAGCTGCAAAATGGAACAGGACAATGCATTTTTGTACTTACATTGAAAGCTATAAAATGACCTAGAATTAAATCCACACATATGAAACACCAGAACTGACGTTTTAATAACTGCCTTATCTTAAGCCATCAATTTTTGAGATCTCTAGCAACTCATTCTAAGGAAAACTGCCTGAAAAAAATGAAGGACAACCTAACTATACTTAGAATTCAAAGTGAATGCAACCATATTGTCTGTTAAAAGTCACTAAGTGTTTCAAAGAAAGAGTTGAAAAAAGGAAATACAAATTATTTCTACTTGGTATTTCATATTCGGCTATTCATTCCTGAGGGGTTTTCAAAGTAACTGGCTTTGACTAAATTCACTACACTTAGAATCAAGAACAATTTTAAGTTATATTTGTGGTTTAACCTGATGTCTTAAAATGAAATGGCAGTTTTCAGAATTTTCAAAAGAAAAGATCAACAATTTTTCATAGATTTAAGGGAAATTTGTCAAAATGGTAGAGGCCTCCAAGAATGATACTGCACTGAGCATTTGAAATGACTCATTTATAAATAATTTTATAAATAATTCAGTTAGACTGTTAAAGAAGCTCACAAATTACCCAAACTCTGTGTCGTGGTTATCTTGTTGTTGTTGTTGTTATGTGCCATCAAGTCGGACCTGACTCATAGCGACCCCTGCGTGGGTTTCTGAGGCAGTATTACTATGGAAATAGATTGCCCCATCTTCCTTCTGCGGAGTGGCTGGTGGGTTTGAACCGCCAGCCTTCTGGTTAGCAATCAAGTGCCTTAGGCACTACGCTACCAGAGCTCCTGTCTTGGTTATCTAGTGCTGCTATAACAGAAACACCACAAGTAGGTAGCTGTAACAAACAGAAAGTTATTCTCTCACAGCTTAGGAGACTAGCAGTCCTCACGCAGAGCACAAGCTCTAGAGGAAGGTTTTTTCTCTCTTTTTGTTTTAGGGAAAGGTCCTGGTCTCCTTTCACCATCTGTGGGCCTGTCATTCCTTGGAGATCTCCATGTGTCTTGGCATCAATCCTTCCCTGGGTCTAGGAGGTTCTCAAGGCAGGAAACCCAGGCTCTAAGGATGTGCTCTGTCCCTAGCTCTTCTTTCTTGATGGCAGTCAGATGCCTTCTTCTCTGCTCACTTCTCTCTCCTTTTATCTCTCTCTCTTTTTTGTTTAAGATAAAAGATGACGTAGGCCACACCCCAGGGAAACCCCCCTTACATTGGATTAGTGCTGTGACCTAAGTAAGGGTGCTGCATCCCACCCTGATTTCCTTACAACTGATGGACTGATCACATCAGCTCACATCATGGGAGATGATTATATCATTATATAACTGGCAAATGACATCATTACAAACTGCCAAACCACTAAGAATCATGGTCCAGCCATGTTGACACATATTTTGAGGGGACACAATTCAATCTATGACACTCCATTAGAAAACATTTTATGATAGAACTGAAACCCTTCCCTCCTCAAGCGCATTACACTTACGTTCACCCAAAATCAACCAGGCTCCAGCTAAAGGCTCCTTCCAACCAAGAAACGTTTCCTTGACGTTTTTTACAGCAAGAAGTGACCTCTCCTTTTTCTAAATTCCCCTGGCCTTATTTTCTCAATTACACTACAGGTATCAGGAAGCCAGGCTCCATGCCCAATTAGGCTCACCCCTGTACTCTCTACTGTCCCATCAAGCAGAGCTCCTAGCACAATACCTTCCACATAGTACAACAAGTGTCTGTAGATGAATGAATGCATGAATGAATTAATGAATGAGTGAATGCAGGCTTGTATGGTTATTTTATTTACTTTCCCTGGTCCTGCTGCAGACCCTAAAGGACAATTATTTCCTAAAAACTATATATTTATCTTTCAAACACATTAAGGTTGATATCCAAGTTTCAAGTCATCATCCCAAAATGATTCTTGCTAATAAACTTGCTTTGGACTGATAGCAATCTAGAAAGCTTATCTAAGCCTACATCTTCTTCCATGTGGTACACTGGGAAAATATTCACCAGGTATTTTCTTCCTTTCTGAGAGGTAAATCATTTCATTTAACGACATCTATCATTGTCAGAACATAGGCAGACTTTGTGAAAAATGTCATTGTAACTACCCTTATTAAAAATTAACCATATAAGGTTCCTTTGTTTTTAGTACTTAAACTCCTTCCTGATAAGAAACTGTACTGTAGTAACCTTTGTTGTTTTGTTTTAAAAGTGTGAGGTCTTATCTTCATGAAGGAAAAACATATGGTTATTGAATTTCCTAGGAGAGAATACACTTGTACTTTAAATTATATTTTATAATAACCTTGTTTTCCACCATCTTCATCACTCCTCCCACCCAATATTATAGGAGATGGAAGCAAGCGAAATTCTCTTATTCATCTTTGTTTATTCTACATGGTAAATTACCAAATATTTGCTGGATTTTTTTTTTTTTTTTTAAGGCACTTTCAATTGATAGCTGAAAAGCTCTCCAAAGAATTTCTTTCTCTGGTATCTGTTTTTCAAGGAGCTGAGAGCTGGAATGTTCATTAAAGTCATCCAGGCAGCTGCCCAACTATGGACTAGACTGAACTCAAACCCAGGACGACTGACATCTTCCTTTCTTGAAAACCCTCCAAGGGAGTGGTTCATAATCTTACACCAGTGTCTCATTTTAATAGCTTTATTCATTTTCCTCTTCCAGAAAGTAAGTTAATATGTGCACACCCTGCCCTCAATAGAAGTAAGAAACTTCCATTTGGCATCCAAACTCCATCGCTGGCTTGTAATGTATTCTTTCCAGAAGCAGAGGTTCCTATTTGAAGAGGGGCTTCCTTGCCCACCTTACCCCATCAGATACATTTAGAATTGGAACAGGTCCTGGGAATCATTTAGTCCCAGTCTTTCACTGTATCAACTAAACAATGGAGGCCAAGAAAGATCCCCCAGTGTGCCCCCATAGTATAGCACTTACTAGAAGGCAAATGCAACCCATAACACAAGTCCTCAGCTGGGAACCTTATGTTCTTCCAGTGCTGTGTTGTCTCACCTTCTCTGGTCTCAGAATTCTCCCTGTGAGGCAAATGGCAATTCCCAATGTGATACGGAGTATCAAGCATGGAGTCACATAAGAGTTGTTGTTGTTATGTGCCATCGAGTCAGACTCAACTCATAGCGACCCCTCCTTGGTTTTCGGAGGGAGTATCACTATGGAAGTAGATTGCCCCATCTTCCTTCCAAGTTAGGTCCTCTAAACTCCTGCTACTCAAAGTGTGGGGACAACCAGCAGTGTCAACATCACTTAGGAATGTGTTAACAATGTAGATTCTCAGGCCGCACCCCAGACTACTAAAACTTTTCACTCTACCAATATTCCCAGGAGATTCCCAGGAACATTAAAGTTACAGAAGTGCTGCTCCATTAAAAACAAAACAAAACAAAAAAAAACCTACTGCCATGATAGACAGCATTCATGGGCTGAGTATGAGGATAAAATGATATTACAAAGCCTGGCACATAGCAACAGACAAATCCACTGTCATCAAGTCAGTTCTAACTCATAGCAACCCTATAGGATGGAGGAGAATTGCCCCATAGGGTTTCCAAGACTGCCTCATCTTTCTCCAAGAACCACCAAACTTTCACTTAACCACTGAGCCAGACTTTTAAAAAATTAATGTACTTTGTGGCTATAATTCTCAGATTAACAGCATTATACTTTTACTAGCTGCATCATTCTGGGAGTACATCTCTTCAGAGAACACATTTTTCTAGCTGAGTTTAATCCAATAAATTAAAGGAGGGAAAGAATGTAAAATGGGACTCTACTTATGCAGTCGGGCTTGGCGTTTGGTTTACCTTGCAAGTCAGTACAAAATCCTCTGGTCGTCTAGCTTTTTTCCTTACCTGTCTGAGGGCAATGAAACAGTATGCAATTTCAGAGGTCCCCCTGTTCAACGCACCAGCCACAGCAGGATGCTAACCATCCTCTGCACAAATGCCTTACCTTTCAGTTTTCTTGACCAGGATGGCCCTGAAGATGTGCTCAAGGGGTGTCTTCTCTCGCTCATGGGTCGGCTGCACGAAGGGGTGCAGGGCAGCCAGTGAGAAGCCCTGCTGGTAGAGCTCCAAGAGCTGGGCAGGCAGGTCCCGCAGGGAAGCCAGCCTCACCGCTGAGGACCTTGGGAGCTCCGCTGGGAGGAGAGAAAGGAGAGGCTCAGCAGAGTCTCCTAGGAGCCACCTGGTACCCCACCCAAGCAAGCCTTTTCTCCTTGTCCAAAAGAAGGATCCTCTAGTTCACCTCTTGTTAAAAACTGAGTTTTTTTCCCCTTTTAACGACTGTTCTCAAATTATAAATGAGCTTGTCATTTTCCCATACATTCAAAGGCATTTTAACTGGATTCTTAAATCTAGAATCAGTCTTCTCAGAGACCATAATGGAGAAGCCATTTCCATCTGAAGGAGACAAGGAAAGGAAGCAGGAAGGGAGGGAGGAAAAATAGAAGGAAGGAGGAAAAAGAAAGACTACAGGCAAATATAAAATTACAGGTGACAAAAATAGCATAAAGAAGGACTAGACCAAAATTCCTGTGACATTAAAGAAATAGGGCTAATTACCTTAATTTGCAAAAAGAAATCACTAAAAGGGGGGGATGGGGCAAGTATAAGAATAAGCAATTGCCTAAAAAATGTAAAAGGCTAATCAATATTTGAAAAGACACTCAAATTAACTCAACATTAGAACTATGTATATAGAAACAATAAATAAATATTTTTCACCTATTAAATTATTTCCACCACTTGTCTCTCAGTTTGTTGTACTGTGGTGGCTTGCATATAGCTATGAGGCTGGAGGCTATGCCACCAGTATTTCAAATACCAGCAAAGTCACCCTTGGTGGACAGGTTTCAGTGGGACTTCCAGACTAAGACTGGGAAGAAGGAAGAGGTCATCCACTTCTCAAAGAATTGGCCAGTGCAAACCTTATGAATAGCAGTGAAACACTTTCTGATATATACTGGAAAACTTTATGAGTAGTCCTGAAACACTGTCCAATACACTGTTGGAAGATGAGCCCCTCAGGTCAGAAGGCACTCAAATAGGACTGTTGAAGAGCTGCCTCCTCAAAGTAGAGTTGACCTTAATGATGTGGATGGAGTAAAGCTTTTGGGACCTGCATTTGCTGATGTGGCATGACTCAAAATGGGAAGATACAGCTTCAAACATCCATTAATAATTGGTATATGGAAGGTAGGAAATATGAATCTGGGAAAACTGGAAGCTGTCAAAAATGAAATGGAACATATAAAGATTGATATCCTAGGCATTAGTGAGCTGAAATAGATTGTTTTTGGCCATTTTGAACCAGACAATCATATGATCTACTATGCCAGGAATGACAAATTGAAGAGGAAATGGTGAGGCATTCATCATCACAACAAATGTTTCAAGATGTATCCTGAAGTACAATGGTATCAGTGATAGGATAATATCCATATGCTTACAAGGAAGGCCAGTTAATACTACTATTATTCAAATTCATGCACTCACCACCAAAGCCAAACACAGGGAAACTGAAGATTTTTAGCAACTTCTGTGGTCTGAAATTCACCAACATGCAATCAAGATGTATTGATTATTACTGGTGATTAGAATGCAAAAGTTGTAAACAAAGAAGAATCACCAGTAGTTGGAAAATATGGCTTTAGTGATACAAATGATGCCAGAGATCGCATGATAGAATTTTGCAAAACCCAAGGACTTACTCATTGCAAAGATCTTTTTTCAACAACATAAGTGGTGGCTATACATGTGGACTTCACCAGATGAAATATACAGGAATCAGATCGACTACATTTGTGGAAAGAGGAGATGGAGAAGTTCAATATCTTCAGGCAAAACAAGGCCAGCAGCTGACTGTGGAACAGACCATGAGTTGCTGGTGATACAAGCTCAAATTGAAGCTGAAGACAATTAAAATAAGTCCATGAAACCCAAAATATGACCTTGATGATATCCCACTTGAATTTAGAGACCATTTGAAGAATAGGTTTGATGCATTGAATACCAATGACCGAAAACCAGAGGAACTGTGGGATGACATCAAGATCATCATCCATGAAGAAAGTAAAAAGTTATTTCATTAAAAAGGCCAGGAAGAAGACCAAAATGGATGTCAGAAGAGACTCTGAAATTTGCCCTTGAATGGAGAATAAAACTCAAAAACTCACTGTTGTCGCATCAGATCTGACTCATAGTGATCCCTCTTTGGGTTTCTGAGGTGGTATCACTATGGGAGTAGATTGCCCAACCTTCCTTCTAAGGAGTGGCTCATGGGTTTGAACTGCCAGCCTTTTGGTTAGCAGTCAAATGCCTTAGGCACTATGCCACCAGAGCTCCTTGAACGGAGAATAGCTAAAGCAAATGGAAGAAACGATAAGATAAAAGAACTGAACAGAAGATTTCAAAGAGCAGTTCAAGCAGACAAAGTCAATTATTATAATGAAATATGCAAAGACCTGGAGTTAGAAAACCAAAAGGGAAGAACATGTTTGGCATTTTCCAAGCTAAAAGAACTGAGGAAAAAATTCAAGCCTCATGTTGCAATATTGAAAGATTCTATGGGAAAATATTGTCTGATGCAGGAAACAACAAAAGATGATGGAAGGAATATACAGAGTCACTGTACCAAAAAGAATTGGTCAATGTTCATCCATTTCAGGAGGTGGCATATGATCAAGAACCAATGATACTGAAGGAAAAGTTGAAGCTGCATTGAAGGAATTAGCAAAAAACAAGGCTCCAACAATTGACAGAATATCCATTGAGATGTTTCAACAAACAGATGCTGCATTAGAGGCACTTACCCATTTATGCCAAGAAATTTGGAAGATAGCTACCTGGTCAGCTGACTGGAAGAGATCCATATTTGTACCCACTGCAAAGAAAGGTGACCCAACAGAATGTGGAAATTATCAAACAATATCATTAATATTGCACACAAGTAAAATCTTACTGAAGATAATTAAAAAATGGTTGCAGTAGTATATTGGCAGGGAACTTCCAGAAATGCAAGCTGGATTCAGAAGAGGATGTGGGACATGGGATATCATTGCTGATGTCAGATAGATATTGGCTGAAAGCAAAGAATACCAGAGAGATGTTTACTTGTTTTACTGACTATGCAAAAGCATTTGATTGTGTGGATCATAACAAATTATGGATAACACTGAGAAAAAATGGGGAATTCCAGAACTCTTAATTGTGCTCATGAGGAACCTGTACATAAACTAGGAGGCTGTCATTCAAACAGACAAGGGGATACTGCATGGTTTATGATCAGAAAGGGAGTGTGTCAGGGTTGTATTCTTTCACCATACATATTCAATCTGTATGCTGAGCAAATAATCTGAGAAGCTGGACTATATGAAGAAGATTGTGGCATGAAGACTGGAGAAAGACTCTTTAACAACCTGCAATATGCAGATGACACAAACTTGCTGAAAGTGAAGATGACCAGAAGCACTTACTGATGATGATAAAGACTACAGTCTGCAGTATGGATTACACCTCAACATAAAGAAAATGAAAACCCTCACAACTGGACCAATAAGCAGCATCACAATAAATGGAGAAAAGACTGAAGATGTCAAAGACTTCATATTACTTTGTTTCACAATCAACACTAATGGAAGAAGCAGTCAAGAAATCAGACATAGTATTGCCCTGAGCAAATCTGCTGCAAAAGACTTCTTTCAAGTGCTGAAGAACAAAGATATCTCTTTGAACACTAAGGTGTGCCTAACCCAAGCCATAGTATTTTCAACTGCCGCATATGCATGTGAAAGCTGGACAATGAATAAGGAAGACCGAAGAAGAGTTGCTGCTTTTGAGTTGTGATGTTGGTGAAGAATACTGAAAGTACCATGGACTGCCAGAACAAACAAATCTGTCCTGGAAGAAGTGCAGATGCAATGCTCCTTGGAAGCGAGAATGGTCAGACTTCATCTCACCTACTTTGGTCATGTTAGAAGGGACTATTCCCTGCAGAAAGATATCATGCTTGGTAAAGTGAAAGGTCTGCAAAAAAGGGGAAGACCCTCAAAGAGATGGATTGACACAGTGGCTACAATGATGGGCCCAGGTATAGCAAGGACTGTGAGGCTGGCACAGGACCAGGAAGTATTTTGTTCTGTTGTACATATAGGGTCACTATGAGTTGGAGCCGACTCGACGGCACCTAACAACAACAACAACAACATCATCAAATTATTTTAAAAGTTAAATTTTAAATTTACTTATTTTGGGGAAAGATAGACAAGGTTCAAAAGTGAAACAGTACACAGTGAAGGCTTTACCCCAGCCCTATCCTCTGCCTCCCAGTTTACCTGCTTAGAAGTAATCAATACTATTCAGTTTTTATATACATATTAGCAATCTCTAAAGTCACACACAAGTAAATAGGTCTCTATTAAACACTCCTACCAGCTTTACACAAATGGTAGAATAACATTACACACCTGGCTTTTTATCAATTAACAGAACATTTTTTATTAGGGACCTTTCTAGATCAGTACACAAAGCCCTTCTCCCTTGTTTTTTTTTTTTTTTTTTAACAGATGCACAGTATGCCATTGTGTAATGTACCATAGATTATTCAAACGTTTGCTCTGGTGAGCAATGCTGCAATGGAAAATATAGCCCCTACATGATTTCACATGTGTGCACATGTAGCATATCTAAAAAATGAATTTCTAAAAACGAATAGCTAAATACACACATAATGTTGAATGTAAAACAAACTCGGCTCTGTAAACTTGCACCTAAAGCACAATCAGAAAAATTAAATAAATAAATAAATAATGAATTTCTAGATGTGGAGTTTCTGGGTTAAAGATATATATGCATTTGTAATTTTTTCAGGCATTGCCAGATTTCCTCTATAGAAGTAGTACAGATTCAAAAAAAAAAAAAAGAAGTAGTAGTACAGACTCATCTCTCATCAGTGACTGACAAGAATGTTTCTTTTTCTATGCCCTAGTCAAAAAGTGTGTTACTAAAATTTTTTTATCTTGGCTAATCTCGTAAGTGGTAAAAGTTATAATCTGTATTTGTTTTATTATATAATTCATATTTTCTCTTATTAAACCCTTCATGTTTAAATGCTTTCTGTCTGTCCTTTTCTGTGAACTGT